TCATACGTCTGCGCAAAGGCTTCGCGACTGGACGTGCCACGTAGAACCAAGGTCTTCTGCGAGTCAGCGGATGGCTGGCGTGTCAGGTTTGTTTTGAAGGACCCTCTTGGAGATGGCCGGTGTGGATATCGATGTCTCGCGCAGCATCGAGGTGTGTCGCTGCAGAAGGTGATGCAACATCTTGTTTCATTGATGGTTTCCGACAACAGTGGTCAGTTCAAGGCTAGCCATATACTCAGTGTCATCATGGCGTCAGATGTGAACAACCCGTGCCCTCCCTCAGCCTGGCTGAACGAAAATCATCTTCGACTCTTGGCGCAGGCCCTGCCAGGTGTGTACAGTGACGGGATTTTGGTGCGCTGCTCCTGTCATCACAAGTGTGACTGGCTATGGTTTGGGTCCAAGGGCAGCGTGCCCATGGAAACAAAAAGTGTGGCTTCCCGTTTACAGCGTGGCTGGACTCCCTGCGTCCTCAGCCACACGCAACACCATTTTGCTTTGCTTGAGGTTGTTGGAGTAGCTAGCGACCAGAGTGCGTGCCACTCTGATGTCGGCAAATCCCCTGCGCACTGCAGCCGAGCCAGGTGCCTTAAGCGCTCTGCGACACAAGCTTGTCTATGTGGTGGAGCTGATGCTGCAGCAGGATGCCCGACGCACAGAGATGCGCGTTGGCCGAGGTGCAGCGAAGGGTGCATGCGTCAAATCTTGCAATATGCCGTGTGTGTTGATAACCTGGCCTCCCTAGCCTGTGTTTCACAGAAAGTGCTGCGGCATCTGTCACAGCCGTCTTTCTGGCATGAGTGCACCCTTTGTGTTTCTGATCACTGCTCCTGTTCCCGTCTGTGCAAGGCGCGTTGCGTGCGATCCTTGTGGCCGTCGCGCGGTCTCCAGTCTTCCTGCCATAGCCCTGTGTCCTCCTTGACAGTGCAGGGGGGCGATGCAGACTCAGCTACGCGTGCCTGTGCTTATTCCTGCAGACGCGTGAATTCTAGTAGATATCTCCATGTTTGGATGTCCGGCGCGCGTAGCCCGCCTATGAGGTCAGTCCAGTTCCGGTCTCCACCGCTTCTTGCGTCAGCGGCAGTTGCTAGGCTTGCGTTTGGGTACACAGTCCATACCTTTGTTGAAGGTCTTGTGCGTGCCATCTTCGAGCGCCCTGCGCTTGCGGATGCTGGCGCATGGTTTCTTCAGTGCAGCTGCAGAAACAGCGAGCTTGCGGCTAATTGGGTAGCTAACGTGCAGGGGCAGGTTCTGGCAACCAGTCATAATGCACGCGGGCTGAGAATCAGCGACTCAGCCAATGTATGCTTACCATTCTCCTCCCGAGAGTTCGCGTGCTTCTGGAATGGCACGCTAGCGTGCCTGAGTCGCCTGCATGATGGTTGCTCCTTTCCTGCGCACCTGCCTCTACACTGGTTCTGCCTCCTGGAAGTGTCTCAAGATTTCCAAGGCTGTCCTCCTGCTGTCACAGATCTAGGGACAATGCCAATGCCTCTGACGCGTTCTCTGTTGCCCGTGTCCGCAATGCGCTTTCACTGCTTTGGCACGCTATCCTTGCCCAACTTGCATCTTGACCAGCGTTTCATGGTCTTCTTAGGACAGACAGGCGGCAGCAGCCCCGGCGTCTGCGAGATGAAGGTCATGGCCGCAACCGTGCCTGCACTTTTTCGAGACTGTGATGTTGTGACGGGTTTTGCCACTGCAGAGTGTGCTGCAGAGCTAGCTGCTGCAATGGAAGACCTTCACGTAGTCCCTACCATTGCAGCCGCCGTCCACATGAGAATCCGGGCAGGCCGCGTTTGCTCCCAACGCTTCCTTTCCATGCACAATCATCTGCTAAAGGATTTCGCAAGGCCATGCGCTTTTGACCTAGAAAACATGCTCCACGTTCGGGCCTACTACCGAGGTCAAGAGTTTGTCTGCGAGGTAGGCTCCTGCTCCGAGGAGGCATGGCCAATTGCGTTTCGTCCGTCATGCAAGCCTTTGTTTGCAGTCAGGCGAGACATGCCCTTTTTGGACGATCGGCGCATGGTGGACTGCTGCCGTGTCATGAATCTACACTGTGGCGTCCGAAGCTCCGCAAGTGTCAACAGCAAGCTGTTGCTGGAAAGCATTGTCCAGGATCGCCCGTGGCTGCGCGGTGGGGGACGTTCTATGCCAAGAAGGACGCCCTGGGCAGATGAGGTAGACCAGCACGAAGATGAGGAGGTATACCAGCGCGCAGATGAGGTAGATCAGCACGCAGGCGCGGCTGCAGAAGCGTCCAGGGAAAGACCGAGCGCGAGTGCAAGTTCGACCCGCGCGCATCCAGCGCAGCGGGTGTCCAGCCGTATTGCGCGCGAGCTGCAAGCTCGAAGTCGGCGTGCTTCGTTTCTTGCAGCTGCTCTCCAGCTGTCTGAGCTTCCATTTGCCGTGTTCTGTGACAACATTGCACGTCTGGCCAGCTGCAACTATGGTCTGGCGCACTTTCTGGAGCGTGATGAGTTCAGGGAATCCCCTTTTCCGCTGCACCTTGTGCATTTAATCGTCTCAGAGGTCTTGTGCTCAGACATTCAGCTGTGGTATGTGCATGCTGCCCGATGTCAGCAAATAGGCGTGCGTGGACTAAGCCAGATAGACAGCCCAGATGAGGCGCGCGCGCTGCTTGCTCTGAATGAACAAACTGGTCGATTTTTTGTTGTCGCCAGAAGGGAAGCCATGAGGCCGCCGCAGCATGCGCTACCAATGTTGCGTCTCCTAGATGCCCTTGTGTTTAGCCCGGCTGCAGAAATTCACCAGCCTCCTGAGGACCTGTGTTTTTGCCTCGGGACCACGCGTCTGCAGTGCTTGACTGTTTTGCGAGGATTGCGCTCTGCGTGCGGCCTGCCAGCGCAGATTTCCAGCATGGAAAACGGGCAGACCATGAACTTGCAGGCAGTGCAGCAGTTGTGTTTGTCAGTCCTGCCGCAGCTTCCGTGTGGACTGGTCTTGTTAGATTCCACGCAACAGTTCTGGCGTGTAACTTGGTGCACTTGCCACATTGTCTCATGCCTAGACGTGTTTGCGCTGCTGGGTCTCGGGTCTCGACTTGTCGTGTTTTGTCACCTAAGCAAGTGCTGGAAGTGTGCGCAGATTCGCGCGGACAGCCAGTCGCAATGGCTTGGCTCCGTCTGCCCAGCTGTAGGAGTGGCCCATTGGCGCAACCTAAGTGTCCAGCAAGGTGCTGTAGCTGGAAGTGTGCGGCAGATGATGCTAGGAGGGGCTTCGAGAGTAGCTACGGTGCCAAGCATTGCCGAAGATTGTGTTCCACAGGTTGGAGAGCGTGTGATGATGCTCAAGTCGCAGTGGCTGCATCGCATCCTCAGTGGCCAAAAAAGCATGGAGCTGCGCGGTCAGCGTGCCAGAACCGGGTGGGTCTGGCTTGGCCACAAGAACAAGATTGACGGCCGTGCGAGAGTCGCAGCGTGCGCTGAGCTTGATTCCTCGACTTTCGAATCATACCGGGAGCAGCACTGTTTTCCAGGTGGGGGCCTGCCATACGCAAGAACCTATGCGTTGTGGCTGGAGGACGTGCAAAAAGTTGCACAGCCGGTCCATTTCTACAAACCTTGGGGGGTTGAGGGCTGGGGTCTTGTGCGGTACAGCCGGACTGACCTGCCTGCCAGCTGCAAAAGTCGTGCTTCTCGCAAAGGCCAAGGTCGTGCCCGCCGCGCGGTCTGTAAGGAGGCAAGGTTCCACGGTGTGGGTGTTGAAGGCAAGCCTTCCCCTGGCCCAAGCACGCTTGACCTCTCCGTCAAGGCATCTGGACTGCCCAACATCGGAAACACTTGCTTTCTAAACGCAGTTCTGCAAGCACTTTTGCATATGCCTGACATTCAACACGTGCTGCAAGCCGACCGCGTGCCTGAGTGTACAGCAGAGTGCCTGTGGTGTTTGCTGCGCAAAACCATAGCCGCGCGAGATGCAGGTCTCGCAAACTCCGCCTTCATGGAGCAATGGCTCCCTGTCCTGAAAAGTCACGACATGGCAGCTGGCGCCCAAGACTCTGCTCTACTGTTTGCAGACGGCATCTGCTCAACTTTGCGCAGTCAGCAGGCAGGCTTAGTACTCATGATATTGATGTGAAGTTTCCAGTGCAAACAGTAAAGATGTTGCTTCGTAAGATGGCTAGAACCACGTATACGCATCCCTGTCAGGACTCGGCGTGCTGCAAGGAGAACGTATTTGGCGTGCGCCTTCAGCGGAAGCATCGGACGACGTGCGCAAATACTGACTGTGTCGATGGTCTGACAACAACAGAGCGTGCGTCCGGCGAAACCTGGTCAGTGTTGCTGCTTGAAAGTCCTCCTGCCAGCGAGTCCACCGTGCTGGAGCTCCTCATGCAGTATTTGAAGCCAGTTCCAGTGACTTTGCAGTGCGAATCATGCAGCGGTGCGCGAGAAGGGCAGCAGCAAGTCACCATTGACAGTTTGGCAAGTGCTCTTGTGCTCGGGTTTCCTCGAGCAGGACATGTTGATGGCCAAGGGGTGCAGCATCGTCATCGCGGCCATGTCCTCTGTGACCAACATGTAGCGTTTGGAGGCAAGGAATTCAAGCTCGCGGCCATCGTGGAACATATTTCAGGAAGCTCAGATGCTAGGTCTGGCCACTTTGTCACGTGGATTCCACCAAATGCGGGTGGCGCTGGCTGGACAAGACTTGACGACCTGCGTGTGGAGAAACAACACACGCTGCCCGAGGACGTCTGCGCAAACGTAGTCCTGGCCTGTTACTGCAGCTCAGCCGTCTTGCCATGTAGCGAGCAGGCGAAACTGCAGGGTCGGCGCCAACGCTGTGGTGCGAGCTCAACTGAACCGGAGACGTTCAGCAGGAGTGTCAACCGCGGCAAGGAAGGCGGTCAGGTACAGGAATGCCCGAGTGGAACCGCCTCAGCAGCGCGAATTGACAGTGGTCCACCGGCTCAGGCGGGTGAAGCAGATTCGGAACTTCCAGGCAAGAAGGGTATTCCCATGACAACCAGCATGGACAACCAGCAAGGTGTTGCAGGACTTTCTGATCCGAGCGGTCTTCTGCCCAGGGAGCAGGATGGTCACCTGGAATTCGAGAGCGCTGTCGACGCTCTTCTCGCTGCGTACAAATCACCTACTCCGAGCGAGTGTCGTCGTGTCTTGCAGGCGTTGCCGTTATTTTCTTGTGAGATCCGTGAGCAGAACTGGGAGGTGCTGTGGGAGCGTCTTCGCGCCAGTGTAGAAGAATACACTCGGCAACAGATTGTGGCAGCAGACGCAGTCAGACTTGCTTCGCCAGTTTGGAGGACAACCTTCTTTCCGCTTGCAGTTTTGTTTGAAGCTTGGTCTCGCACCAGTGGTCTGCCCACTGTCTTCTACGTCGACTCCTTCTATTCCTTGGTCGGGAGTTTGCTGAGTAAACATGTCAGCTATGATGCAGCCGGCTTCCCTGTGCGAGCTCGTTTCTGGGCTTGCGGAACTGCCTCCCCTGGTTCAGGCAAAAGTCCTGCTCTGGACCCACTCAAGGAAGCCTTGATGGAAGTTTTACGTGAGATGCCAGATTTGGCTCCAGGCGTGGCCGCGGATGGTTTCCACGTTCAACCAGTCGGCACACACGCTGCAGCCGTGGACCGTCTGCGCAGCACAGGCGGGTACCAATTCATCGGTGCAGGTGAAGGAGGACCGGTTTTGTGTCCAGCATGGCCATCATCCTCAACATGGACGCAGTCTACGCACATAAACTGGCAGCGATACCTGGACGCAGCCACAGGCGGGGCCATGCTTGAACTAGAAGTAAAGGCAAATGCTAGGTCCTGCTAGGTCTTGCAATCTCGCATGTGTAGACTGGAAAGTTCTCTGCCTTGCATGCAGGTGGCGCCGTGCCCTGGGAGACGGCCGTGGACAGACAAGCGCGAAGGCGCTCGATGGCAGAGGCCCCCGCCCTCGCTCCGGAAGACGATAAAACAAATGTGAGCGTGATCATCTTGCAGCAGCAGGCGCTTTTCTCCACTTGGTGGGCTCGGGCAGAGGACAGCTGCAGCATAGGGCTGGCGGGCAGGTTTGTGTTTTCCTTTGCGTCCGCGGGTGAACCTGGTCCGCCAGACACAGCGCAGTTCGGTAACTATGTGGCTATACCGGTGGTGAAAGCAGTCTTCAGATTAGTGTTACAGCACCTAGGTCCCCAGGCGCCCTTGCCAACTGACAGCCCTCTGTTGTCTTGGGCAACAGATGAATCTGGGCAGGCAGCTGTCTACAGGTACCGGCTGCTGTGCTCCGATCTGACAAGAACATTGCCGGTACAGGAACCCTTTGCATCCTGCTTGAACAAGAATGGGTACTGGCTGGCGTGCGTTGGCTTTTGGAACAGCGTGCTTGGCCAGATATGGAGGGGGGCAGTAGCGGAGGACCGTGACATGGAAGTAGCCATTCAGCCAACCATCACGGACGAGTGTCTCAAACTGTCCATGGATTTCTTCACATTCCGTTTTCTCTATGGCGCCGCCGTTCTGTCTGCAGATATCCGATGCAAGACCTGGATGAAACGGACTGCTTCGAGTGGCGCAGACCGAGAACGCTGGAATTCTACAGCCCTGCTTTTGGTAAAGGCATCCTGTGGAGTCAGCATTACACCCGCAGTAGCTCAGCGAGCCGGACCCATGTTCCGCGGTCTGGCTGCGACGCGCGGGTCAGAAGCCCATCGCCTAGCTGCAGAGGCTTACTGTGATGCCTTGGATTACTTGCACCGTCGTGGGTTCGGCGTGAAGATGGATTTGTCGGATGACCTGCTGCCCACGTTTGTGAAGAGGCATTACCTGTTGCTGCCTGAATCCTGCAAGAGGCACCTGCAGCACGGGGGTGTTCCAGCCATGCACTTTGGGTTGCATGTGCCGCTTGCCCAAGTAGATACTTCCAGTAATGCGTGTCCAAGGCAGGAACAGCAGACGGGGTGTAGTCCAGAGCAGCTTGTGCCGTGTGATGCCAGACCTGAGGATGCCAGGCACGACAGGGAGCAAAGACAAGAAGAACGCACTTCTGTGCCCAACCGAACGGTTCCATCAGAAACTCCCGGCCATCAGATCAAGGCCCAGGCGAATTCATCAGCCGCAGTGGGAGAGTCTCCAAGTCAATTTGAGGCAGTGAGGAGCTCGCGAGAGACTGGTGAGTCTGATGCGGAGGAAAAAGCTCCAGCTGACAAGAAGGTGTGGAGCACAGTCTACGAGGGACGCCCCAACACATCCATCGACAGTTATTCTCACCTTCGAGAAGAAGTCGAACGCATCCTTGGTGAGCGCAAGGATCCTGGTGTGTACACATTCGTAGACCGCGGCGTAAAAAAACTCACGCGCAGCCTTCGTGCAACCTGCAAGCAGGATGCCTGCGTGAGCTGCACTCGACAAATTTCCGCTGCATTTCGTTTTTGCCAGGGTGCAGCTACTCTCCATGTCCGTGTCTGCGGCGAGCACGGCCAGTTGCAAAAGCCCAAGGGGGGACACCTTTGGAATGCAGCAGAGGACTTTGCAATTAAGACGCGCATGACTGCAGGAACGGGCTACACTTCTGACAAAGTTCGGGAGGCTCTGAAAAAAGCAGGTCTGCCTCTCCGGTGCACGCCTCGGCAGCTCAACCAATTTGTGACCCGGAAAAACAGTGCCGCAGGCACTCAGCAAGTCCAAAAACCGCGGCTGATTGTGTGCGGAGAGCTCGAAACGGCGGCTGCCGCCTATCTTCTCAGTGACAGCTCAAGGTGGAACGAACATCCTTTGGATCGTTTATTAGTTTTGCCCACCCCCGTGTTCTCCGATGACCGTGTCTGCGCAGTGTGGACATGTCCCGGCATGCTCCGCCGCGCGCAGGCAGCGCAAGGCAAAGTAGTGAAACTGGCAATCGATGGCAAGCAGAGCGTCCTGAGCAATGGCTACACGATCGCCACTCTGAGCTTCCTCGTCTGCAGTGAGCATGTGTCTCTAACAAGAGACGCGCGCAAGCGTGCTGCCAGTCGGCCAAAAGTGCACACACTCACACAGGAACCCTTTGCGCAGGCACTTATGAACACAGAGTCTGAGCCAAATGTGTCCCAATTTCTGAGCACAGCGACACAGGTGGCCAATCAACACTGCGGCCTGGACCTGGCGCACCAAGTCTGGCAGTTGCACAAGGATTATGCAAAAGGCTTGGAGGCTTCTAGGCGCAAGATTTTTCCCGCTGCACGTCCGTGCGACGATTATCCTCACATGCGGCGGGCGTCCTACAAAGTCCTGCAGAGTCTGCTGTGCTCATCCGTGCCGCCTGACCCTTAGCTTCAGTCGTTCAATTTGTGATGCGAGTGCAAGAGGCCGCTAGTAGGCAGACGTGCGCTACGATTGTCTGTCATGCGCTTGCGCGTTCTGCGCTAAGGTCCGAGGAACCCACAGAGCGCGTTGCTGCGCAGTCAAGGCAGCTTGGTTCGCGTGTTGCATAGTGCTGAAAACATCTTTTGCAGTGTGTGGGGTAACGCAGCCAGCCCTAGCAAGCAAAATTGGTACGGTCTTTAAATTAAGGGTCTGGGATTTTCCTCAAGAAAGAATAAACTGAAGGAGAAGAAAGTAGTCAGGAAGCGCAGACCCAAAGTCTGGGCAAGCGAGGGCCTGGGGCGGCGAAGGTACAGCGCTGCCAAGAGTCTAAAACAAGCTGCGTAGCATTCCGTAGGACCAAGTTTAGTTGCCAGCAAGCTGAGGACCAACTAAGGGCTAGAAAGTTTTTATCGTCAACGTTCACGCTGGTTGTTAGCAGCCTGTCTGCAGCTTGTCAGATTAGGAGAACTCATCTTCTGATTAGCTCTGTTGACCTTGTCCTTTAGTCACCTTTACTATCAGATTTGTCCGTATTGATTCCCAACAATTACCCTTCCAAAGTTTTCCTCTCACACGCTGGCAGGAAAGGACGAGCGTCTCAGAAGGACTCGGTCTTCCAAGAGCTGGAACGCGTCATTAAGCTCAGCCGTGCCTTGCCCACGATTGTGCTGTTTGATGTTGTTTGGTCTAGAACGTTCGCGTGGCTGGAGACGGTCAGCAAGAAGGCGACCACCTATCTGCAGACGACATACTTTCAGCGCACGCCAGTTGCTGGTCTCCGAAAACAGTTCCATGTCGGTGAGCCAGTTGGTGGCCATGACACGTGCTGGTTTGCTGGTTTCTGGGCGGGGGTGACAGGCACATATCCTGGCACTGGTTCCGGTACGCAAACTTTGGAGAGCTTTCATTCGTATTGGCAGTCCAAGATAAAGTCCCAGGTGCGTACACACCCAACAAAGATATTTGAGGCGATGCAACAGCTGTACACCGAAGACTGGTGCAACAAGTTTGAGTGGTCTGCGGAGCGCAGCTTTCGTACCTGGCCAGACAAGCCGGCTGAGGATCTTCTGAATAGCGACTCCTTGCGAACAGCTGGGCGCTCTCCTGCTGTGGACTTCTGGTCTAATCGGGAGCCGAAGTTGTCAGGACAGCGAAATTACTTCAAGCTGTGGAGGCGCACTGACAAGGAGACACAAGCCACGCAGAGCAGGGATGGTGTCACAACCCTCTGGGTTTTGCAAGCCCGCAAAGTCCGCGGGGTCATGCCTGCTGATGCACCCATTTCGCAGGAGACTGCCGAAACCATCGCTGATCTCCTGTGTCAGGATGGAGACAAGCTAGCAAAGCGACTCCGCCAATGCGGAATTCTTGAGGTCGCCAAGGATCCCAAAAATGCGGGCGCCGCCAAAGAGAGGTTGAACCTGGGCAAGTTGGAGCATTTTCTCGACGGCCATTGCGTTGTGCTGCAGGGTCATCTGGCCGACTCGTTGTGGCCACGTGTGCGCCGACGATTGCAGCAGCCGCTACCAACAACACTCTGTACATGCCTGGAATTCCTCCTCCACGCTGACTGTGAGCACATTGTGTATATCAAAGCTGTGGAAGAGCAAAGTGGTGCGGTCGATCTACGCAGCATCCCAGTCCTCAAGCCTAAAGGACGCAAGCGTCGGCCAGCTCCCTCCGAAGACATTGCTGCCCAGCCCAAGAAAAGAAGACGACAGACGGCGGCTTGGCTGCCTTGGCTCAGAAGTTGAAGTACTGCCAAGAAATTTTCGTGACACCCCAAGGCTTAGAAGTCAGACGAGTCCAAGAGGCCAGTGCACGCATGCTTAGGAAGTAGACGAACTTTGTTCCATGCCGGGCGCTAGCCGTCTGTTCCGTGCTTGCTAGGTCGCCAGCAATGGAGCCTTTTGGATTTCAAAGTGGACCATCAGTCGCGGTCTTGAACCTTCGGATAAGTTGTGCTGAGGTGTTCAGGAGATTTTCAGGAGCAAGTCCGGGGCTGAGCTGGGGCACCCTGTTTGTGACGTTCTCGGCAGATCCTCTCAGGCTTGATCAGGTGTTGGAGCTGCCGTGGCGTGGAACTTATGTTGACCTGAGTGGCATTCCGGTTTTCCGTGACATCTGTCGCTGTCATGCAGGATGCAGCTGGGGTCCGGGTTCACTGGCCTCACCCACGGGCAGTCCGTGAGACGCGACAAGGCAGCGGCGGGCTTGTCCAGTGGAAAAAATTCCACGCGCGCGAGACTGCAGAGCTGCTTGGCCATGGACTATGACTGCGCAAAACATGTGGGGTCATGACCATGTGCGGAGGTTGCGGTAGAACCGAAGTCTGGAGGCTTGCTGAGATTTGATATCTGACATAGACACCGCGCTTCTAGACGCTTGAGTCGTCTCCTGAGATAGGTCAAAGTGACGCGTGCCTCTTGGACTTGAGTTCGTGCTGGGACGCTTCGATGTATCGGCTCAGAAGCTGTCAGATTGGCACGTTCCCATGAGCTGCCTGGTCAGATTCTGAGCAGACTCAGAGATGTACCTTGGCAGCCAGCAATCCAGTTGCGCCTTGTTGCAGGCCCTGACAAGGACCATCCGCAAGACCTTGCGCTTGCCCACGAAGATATCGCCTGATGCCTCACGACCCTCAAGCTTAACATGCCAATCATTCCTGCCTATCCTTCTGTGACATGTCCGGTAGACCCTGTGCGCTTCGATGTGCAGGGTTGGCTTCCGTACTGTGTTTTTTTTTGTGTGACAGGTCTTCTGAGCTTTGAAAGGTTTGGCAGGCTGGGGTTCCCTCCTCAGGCCCCGGCAGGCCTGGGAGCCTCCGAGAGAGGTGCGGGAGGCTGGGATTCAAGGTGCCGACCGAACGAGAAAACGGGCTGCGGGACCACCTCTAAATTCTAGGTGCTAGTGTGGACTCAGTAGCACTCCAGTGCCTCAGCAGGAAAAGAGACACCTGACTGCCTTGCTGTCTGTACCGTTGTGAGGGCAGTAACGCACAGGTTACATCTCAACGTGGTAGCGGAGCTCC